ATAAACAATGTTAAAGATTAGTTTTAATTATTAATCAAGATTGTGTGTGAATATGTGAGAAAGATGTAATATCGTTGTTGTTTTCTTGGCCGACTGTTTTACATATGGTGTTATCTTAAAATTGCTTGTTTTGAATATTTTTTTAGATTGAGTTGAATGAATTGCTGAATTTTTTTTTGTATTTAATCGATAAAAGCAAAGTTACGCATGTTAAAGTTAGGAAAAATATTTTGATGTTAAGCAAAACCTGCTCCATCTCGTTTTACATAAATGTTGAAAATTTGGTCGAAATTGATGCATTGTAACGAAAGTTTTTAGTGAACAACACTTATGAAATTTCCATTTTATTAATATAGATATTATATATTAGTACCACCGAACTGGTATCACAGGGACCATGCTAATCTTCTCTGTATAGTAGTAGTTGTACCGCAGAACTGGTAAAATGCAGGAGTAAAATTTAACAGAAAAAAAAAGTGCCGAAACCCGGGATCGAACCAGGGACCTTTAGATCTTCAGTCTAACGCTCTCCCAACTGAGCTATTTCGGCTTAATATTGCTATGCACTTTTCATTCTTTATATTATACTAGACGGGTGACCCGGGCTTCGCCCCGGGATTGACCAGTGTGCATATCTACCCGAGTGATATATAATTTGATAAGATTTTTTTTTTATAATTGTTTGTTATTAGCATTATCTATTTGTTTGCATCAGCATAATTTAATCTAATCGTTGATAGAGGGCGCTGTTCGTGAGCTAAGTAGAATAATTTGAATATATAGTTTTAATAATTGATTTATATATTTTTTTAAATTGCCTATCGTCTTCCCCGTATTTTTTTACCTATGTATGGAAATTTTGGTTTGAACTAGTGAACTACTGCGAATTTGTATACCGGACATACAAACAAACAAACAAACATACAAACATTGATTTATATATATATAGATACTAGACGAATGACCCGGGCAACGCCCGGGTTTACACGATTAAATGTATATTACATATGGAAGATGGACGTAGTTCCCGGAGGTCACCCGCGAGGCTGTGTCACCAACTCTGCCCCCGCGCGCCAGGACCTCTTGATCCCTCTGATTGGTCGGTGGGAACTTGGACTGTCCAACCGGCCGGCAGCCGGACGATTACATTTTCTCGACGGAGGGGGGGGGGGGGCAGGGGGCAGGGAAGTCACGTGCTCGCCGGCAGCCAACGGGCGCGCGCCGCCGGCAGATCGCCACGCGTTCTAGAGGGCGCTGCTCGTGAGCTAAGTAGAATAATTTGAATATATAGTTTTAATAATTGATTTATATATTTTTTAAAATAGCCTATCGTCATCCCCGTTATTTTTTACCTATGTATGGAAATTTTGGTTTGAATTAGTGAACTACTGCGAATTTGTATACAGGTCATACAAACCAACAGACAAACAGACAAACATACAAACATTCATTTATATATATATATATATTATATATATATTAGTACCACCGAACTGGTATCACAGGGACATGCTAATCTTCTCTGTATCCTTCCTATTGTAGTAGTTGTACCGCCGAACTGGTAAAATGCAGGAGTAAAATTTAACAAAAAAAAAGTGTCAAAACCCGGGATCGAACCAGGGACCTTTAGATCTTCAGTCTAACGCTCTCCCAACTGAGCTATTTCGGCTTAATTTTGCTATGCATTTTTCATTCCTTATCTTCTATATATATAAAAATGAATGTTTGTATGTCTGTTTGTCTGTATGTCCGGTATACAAATTCGCAGTAGTTCACTAATTCAAACCAAAATTTCCATACATAGGTAAAAGAATACGGGGAAGACGATAGGCTATTTTAAAAAATATATAAATCAATTATTAAAACTATATATTCAAATTATTCAACTTAGCTCACAAACAGCGCCTTCTAGAACGCGTGGGGATCTGACGGCGGCGCGCGCCCATTGGCTGCTTTATACTCTTTACTTTTGTTTAGCTTTTAAATAACATATTTTTTCTCTACTTTGCCTATTTTTATTACTGGTGCTGAGACTGCTGTGCAACGTGAGCATCGTCTTAGGATTAATCGAGAAAGGGCCAGTACTTCGAGAGCGGCGGAATCCGTGGGACAGCGTGAGAACAGGCTTCAACATGATAGAGACAGGGCCAGTACCTCAAGAGCGGCGGAATCCGTGGGACAGCGTGAGAACAGGCTTCGGCAAAATAGAAACAGGGTCAGTACTTCGAGAGCGGCAGAAACCCCACAAGAACATACGGCCAGGATTCTGAATGTCAGGGAAAGAACTTTGGCCTCACGAAACTCGCGTGATAGACTTTCCAATTTACTTTTAGAAGGTTTTAATTATGATTCGTGCAAAAATTACGAACAACACCCAATGATATTGCTGTATCATGTTTAATTTCAGATACAAAATTATAACGGGAAAAATTCCAAAAAGCAGAGACCACGGGTGAAACCTGTTCATTATTTTGTATGCAGGAACAAAATTCTAACAGAAAAACATTCATTCGAGCAGAAAACAAAAGCCAGATCATCTTTCTATAAAAATATCGCTTCTCAGACACAAAGTTTGGAGCGGTACGTTTCACAAGAGTGACATCCACGGCGCCAATTTATAATTGTAACGAATAGTATTTGAATAGGGTAAAACCCGGGCGTTGCCTGGGTCATTCGGCTAGTATTATATATTGAAGTAATAATTCCTTCACTAAACTTTAAGAACGAAATACTTGATGAGAAAAGAAACTCTTTCCTCATCAAGTATTTCGTTCTTAAAGTATTATATATATATATATTAGTACCATCGAACTGGTATCACAGGGACCATGCTAATCTTCTCTATGTTGTAGTAGTTGTACCGCCGAACTGGTATCACAGGGGTCATGCTAATCTTCTCTGTATATTTCCTATTGTAGTAGTTGTACCGCCGAACTGGTATCTCAGGGGCCATGCTAATCTTCTCTGTATCCTTCCTATTGTAGTAGTTGTGTCAAATTATATTGACAAACATTTTCAGTTTTTTTCTGATCAGTTTTTAGCGGGAAGAATGTTGTCTTCGTTTGTTAGTGAACCAATCTCTCACGCCTTTTCATTGGAGGAATGTGGCCATGTCTGTATATAAGAGGAGACTAAGGGAATGTGAAGGGGGCCAGAGCGTGGAGAATTGGTGTGGAGACGCCTAAAGTGTTTTTCTACGAAGTTTTCCCTGTCTGGCTGTTAGCTTCGCATCCCGGTGTCACCCGAGTTCGATCCCTCCCAACGCTACAATAAAGCTCGATCCGGGCCGGAGGCTTCTATACCACCGCCTTCCCCCTCCTTAACGGCCTCAGGCAGGGTTGCGCCGTGAGCGCCGCTCTCTTCAGCATCGCCACGGGGCCGCTGCTACGTCGCCTGGAGTCGACCCTCGGCGTGGGCAACGTCATCGCCTACGCCGACGACATCGTCCTCCTATTCCATCGCGACGGAAACTTCGAGCGGGTAGCGACCGTTCTCGAAGACTACAGGCAGGCCTCCGGAATCGGCGTGAACCTCTGGAAGAACGCTGGCCTCTGGTGCGGCGCTTGGCGTAACCGCGGCGACTCCCCTCTCGGCGCCTCCTGGTCGACCACCTCCATCAGGGTCCTCGGGCTCGACATCGCCCCCAGGAGCACCGTCGCCCATCGGGAGCAGCATCTCCTGGCCTTCCTGGAGACTGCCTGCCGCAGATGGACGCCCTTCACCCGCGGCCTCTCCCTCGTCGGACGAGCTAGAGCGGCGAACTCGCTGGCGGGGTCCACGATCCAGCACCACCTGCATGGCTACCTACCATCACCCCCGACCATCGCCAAGCTGCAGGCCCGACTGGCGAGGTTCGTCTGGGGACAAGAACACACGGCGTGGCTTCCCGCCGACATCATGGCGAGGCCAGTTGCCATCGAAGGCCTCGACCTCGCTACACAGCTCCAGCTCGCCTGCCTCAAGGGGGTGCAGATCGCGCTCCGCTGGGGCAGGAACGGGTTTGCCTGGCTCGTCAACGGCAGCGGCGGAGAGGCCTGGATCCACCCTCCACCAGACGGCACTTGTCTTCAGCCCCGCCGTCTCCGGCTGCTGAAGCTTTGGAAGGAGGCCTCCTACATCCTGGGCCTCAACCACCGGGCGGTCCCCACAGCTCAGCTGCTGGACCACCCCATCATCGGCGGCTGCCGGTTTCTCCGCCCTCCCGACCTCCTGGCCCCCGCCCGCTGGCGCGGCGCCCGAGTCCGGGACCTCATCGTGGAGGACCACCTTATCGCCCGCCCTACGCGCTCCGCCCTGGCTGACGCAGCGGCCCTGAGCGCCTTCTGCCGGAGGCTGACCTCCGAGAACGCCGTGGGCTTCGGGGCGGAGTCATCTCCATCTTCATCTTCACTTGCTGCGGCCGTGGTGCTGCGCGGGATGGCCACGCCGTTCTTCAACGGCCTTACGACCCGCTCGGCCCGACGGGCCCTGGATCGTCCGCGCCTCGCCGCCACGCCCATCTCCAGATTCCTGGCGAGATGGACGCCCACCATCAATCCACCATCAAGGATCGACTGGGCCTCGCTGCGGCGCTACGCCTTCTCGGGTCACGAAGCAGACGGGGCCCTCAAGTTGGCCCTCCACGCCCTGCCCCATCCGGCCCATCCTGCCTCGGACGGCCCCGCGTGTCCTGCCTGCGGGTCCATCGACCGCTCCCTCGGCCACCGATACTGGTGCTGCCGTTCCATCAGGCCTCTCATCAGAGAGACCTTCAACATCATCGGGCGCCCCCCCTGACCTGCAGGCTTGGATCTTCGGCGGGTCCGGCCTTGAGGACGACGCTCTCTCCATCCTGGCGTCGGCAAAGCTGCGCGTATATCGCCATTTTGTTCAGGTTGGGCTCGGAGGAGCAGTGGAGGACCCGCTTACGCCTGGTCCAGGACCCTCCAGCGCCGAGGATTGCTTCTTCCTTCATCCCCCATCTTCAATTTGTAAAATATTTGTTTCATACATGTTTATACTTCATTCTTTCATGTATATATTTCTCTTCTTCTCTTTCTTTCTCTTTGTTTTTGATGTGTAATATTGTCTAGATGACAATAAATATTTTTAATTGTCAAAATTGTCGCTACAATAAAGCTAAGTATTTTTTTATTATTTTACTAGCGGACCCGCCCGGCTTCGCCCGGGTTTTACCCGAGTAAAGATTTGTCTAACGAATCTCTCGATAAAGTGAACATTTTTTCCCGGTCCCTTGAAAAATACTCGATAAGTTGAATAAAATCAATATTAATTGGTTCCTTCGGTAATTGGAAGTTAAAGGAATAGTATCTTGCCTTGGAATTGTATCATTATTCTTGTCTCAAATAAATTGCCGTGTCATCCTGAATTTTGTCTTTCCTAATTTTCTACATTACAAAATCATCGTATCATCATGATAATATTTAGAGCAGATTGTTGAATTATAACAGATAAATTAGAATATTTATCTTGATTATTTTAAAGCGAAAAGTTATTTCAAAAATTTTATTTGCTAGAAACCTTCCCAGTACTATGCTAAATAACTTCCCAAAGTTTCATGGCGTTCCAATGAGTGGTTTGGTCAGGCATAAAGGACAAACAAACAAACAAACAAACAGACACAAATACATTCATTTTTATATATATAGATTTAACAAATCGTGAGTTGTTTTTTTTTCTCCTTTTTGTTGTTGGTGTTGTACTCTTGAGTGTACGCTTTTCTGTGTATTAAGGTACATTTAATTTAGGCCCTAGCTTATTCCATTTTGGTGTGTTTAACGCAAAAGTATTAACTTTTGTCAGTTGTACCACCGAACTGGTATCTCAGGGGCCATGCTAATCTTCTCTGTATCCTTCCTATTGTAGTAGTTGTACCGCCGAACTGGGTCTCAGGGACCATGCTAATCTTCTCTGTATACTTCCTATTGTAGTAGTTGTACCACCGAACTGGTATCTCAGGGGCCATGCTAATCTTCTCTGTATCCTTCCTATTGTAGTAGTTGTACCGCCGAACTGGGTCTCAGGGACCATGCTAATCTTCTCTGTATACTTCCTATTGTAGTAGTTGTACCACCGAACTGGTATCTCAGGGGCCATGCTAATCTTCTCTGTATCCTTCCTATTGTAGTAGTTGTACCGCCGAACTGGTATCACAGGGACCATGCTAATCTTCTCTGTATACTTCCTATTGTAGTAGTTGTACCGCCGAACTGGTATCACAGGGACCATGCTAATCTTCTCTGTATACTTCCTATTGTAGTAGTTGTACCGCCGAACTGGTATCACAGGGGCCATGCTAATCTTCTCTGTATTGTAGTAGTTGTACCGCCGAACTGGTATCTCAGGGCCCATGTTAATCTTCTCTGTATCCTTCCTATTGTAGTAGTTGTACCGCCGAACTGGTATCACAGGGGCCATGCTAATCTTCTCTGTATACTTCCTATTGTAGTAGTTGTACCGCCGAACTGGTATCACAGGGGCCATGCTAATCTTCTCTGTATTGTAGTAGTTGTACCGCCGAACTGGTATCTCAGGGGCCATGTTAATCTTCTCTGTATCCTTCCTATTGTAGTAGTTGTACCGCCGAACTGGTATCTCAGGAGCCATGTTAATCTTCTCTGTATCCTTCCTATTGTAGTAGTTGTACCGCCGAACTGGTATCTCAGGGAC